CCCCGCTATATATCCCCCTACACACCCCACCCCCAACCCCCCCATCCCCAAAAGTTTCTCAGCGGATTTGGGTTGTACGCAGCAAGCGCAGTACAGCTTCCAACTCAGATATGAAAAGAAAATAGTGGATGGTTGTTTTCTGACTGGTCGGCAGACCGCCGACCGGTCAGCCCTACTGGTCAGCTGGAATATGGTCGGCGGTCGGGGTCGGCCGTCGGCAGGGATGCAACCATTGTCTGGGTCAAAATGTCAGAATTTTCAGAGGAAGAAAGGGTGTCACACAAACATCCCCCTCTCTATTGTGCTCCGTCGGAAGTCTTGGATGTGATTGGTGATGATAAATTTGGTCCATACGTAATTGCCATGCCTCCTCATCTGCTCATGTACCCAGTCTTTCATGCACTTAAGTTGTTCATATATCGTGATGCTAAATCCTTCGACTATCGTGAAGACAAGATGCGCTGTGCAATCAATGGCGGTCTCAAGATCAATAGAATTAAAAGTCACGTAGGGAAGGGACTTCACCGACAATATCAGGTCAATTTTATGTACCACCTATTGGACAACCTCTACCTCGCGTTGTGAAAGCATACGACAGATAGCTTCCGATGTTGTTTCCAAAATCTCTGTAAAACTCGCCGCTACTGAGTACTCGAGGAATCTCTTTGCTATGTTCGCTTACGGCACGTTTGTTGGGGACTCAAAATGAGTTACTCCCTCAAAAGGACCTCGCTCTTGAGAGGGGGGTAGTGTTAAGACCTGCCGAACACGGACTGAGACACACAGCTGATTTCTGAGTTTTGCCAATGGAATTATGCCTTTCTGAGTTTCCCGCTTGTTGCTGAGTTTTCTAAGTCTGAGTGTGCGCGTGCTTGCTGGTCTGCGTGCCTGTCTGAGTGATGCTTGTCGGTTTGAGTGTGTGTGTGACCCGCAAAAGGGTACTTGTTCGTGCGGAAGGCGTAGAGGGCCCGTACTTACCTGTGGCCATGCCAATGAGGGTTGCAGTGGGGAAAACACTCGTTCACAGGGAAAGAGACCCGCGGCACTTGGAGCAGCGGAAAAACACTCAAGTAGCAGGTAGGCCGGTACCGCACCAGGAAGAGGTATAAAAGGGCCTTTACCCGATTCAGACCCTGTTCGGCAAATGCAGCATAGAGGGGTCACTCGCCAGGCCCCAACTCGTGAAAGCAGATCAAAGGACATGTTCTCTGGGTCAAAAGTCACATCCTCGTTAAACCAAAAGCCAATGTCAAAGGTCACAGTTGTGCCCCTGAACGAACAGTTGCAATGTTTAGATTTGGAGGTCACATCTGTTCGTCCAGAGGGTGTGTAGGTCATGTCTGTTCAGGTAAGAGGTGTGTCTGTTTGTGCAGTATTGAGTGTCTGTTCGTGTAGAATGTGTGTCTGTCCAAAAGGAAGTCCAAGGACAGGTTCCCAGTTCTGTCTAAGTCTAATATGGGGTCTAGATTCAGACACCCAGTCCGAAATCCAGGACCCTGAGGGGAAAATACTGGGACACACACATGTGCATGGGTCTGGGACTGAGGAAGGCCCAAAGTGCCAATACAGGCCAATGCAGACCTCGCCAGGGGAGGCCAGCAGTATAAAGCAATAGGCCAGCCTCCCTTGACATCAGATCCCCACTGGCATATTGGCGTGGGAGTGCTGTATGCACTTGTGCGCTGGCTGGCTGGGTTAGCGCTGAGAGGAGGAAGAGAGCTGGACGCTGGCTTGTAAGTGGCAGCCATATCTGCGCCAGCTAGTTAGTATAGGTAGTGGGTTAGTAGTTAGTCTACAGTGAGTAGCATTCAAAGTAGATCTTCGTAGTAGGAGTGTGCATGTATGGTGGGACAAGAGAATCAAGACTGAGATCCAAGAGAGAGAGAAGAGAGAGAGAGTGGGGTAGGATCTGGTTATGGTGGATACTTACCTGCTGTGCGCTGTACTTGAGTTCTGAAGGTGGCGCTGGCTGAGCCAGGCCCCATTCGTGAGACAGAAGGAAGAAACTCGTGATAATGTTGGGCGCTGAACTTTGGATCTCGATATACTCTTGTAAATAATGAGTTAATGATTACTTGAGATGCGCATCTTGGTTCTATCTCATCTTGTTTGGACTATGTGTGAGTTTCATCTTGTGTGAGTCAATGTCCATGCATGCGTTGTGATACATTCCAGCAAGAGGAGGACAGTCAGGTCCCTTGCAGGTAGGTGTGCTGGGTACTCGAGGCTGAGCAGAAGAAGACAAAGTTGGCATTTTTAGAGGCCCAGTAGGTGTAGGCCAGGTACCAGTCCAACCAGTCTGAGTCTAGGGCCTGTACAGGCAATATCAGAGTCTGCAATGATGTTTCCCTCCGAATGGGCGGAGGTACTGGTTGCTTGGAGGCTGCGTGGCCTAGGAAGTCACTCGCCAAGAGGCAAGCAGGCCGCTATATCTCCAGGAGCGAAGCGCTCCTCATTGTCGGTGTGCTAGTTTGGCGACACACTAGTTGGAGCGCTGGCTGGAGCAGCGGTAGTATCAGAGCAGCGCTGCTGGGGAAGGAGCACGGACAGAGAGAGGAGGCAGACGAGGACTAAGAAGGAGGTGCGCCAGAGGTACTTGCCTGGCTATGGTGGTAGCCATCTTCATCACCTATGGTGGTAGCCATCGTAGCCATCTTCATCACCTTGGTGGGCGCTGGCCCCAGTGGCGTAGAGCTACACCAAGAAGCTTTGAGGCAGAGTCAGGCATGGCGGCCTGAGCTGGAGCAGCCATAGCTGCTTTCTGTTGTACTTTGCAATGCCCTGGTAGTCCACCATAGCCTCGGCCTTGGAGTAAGGAGGAAGAAGGGTGGCATTGGCTATGGTGGACCTCATGTGATACCTGCAGTAGAAGAGGGATTCAGACGTTGGTTCTGGTAAGCCATTCCACATTATTATTATTATATCTTGTTTGAATAAGAGGGGACGAGATAAGGAGGAGGAGAGTGGTTGGCGAAGGAGGAGGTAAGTCTCATTGGTCTTTGCTGTTGTGCATCTTCTTCTTCTTCTTTCTTTCATCTTCTTGTTCTTCTTCTTTTTCCTATTCTCCTTTCCCCCTCTCTCCTCTGAAGTCAATTCATTTCTTCTTGCAATAGGAAGGCCTTGTACTTTCTCATGAATGTTTACTTCGAAATTGGCCAGGATCATAAGAGCAGGGGCCATCAATCAATCAATGGTCAATCAATCAATCAATGGTCAATCAATCAATCAATCATCCTTTTTTTTTCCCCCCGTCTTTTATTGACATCCCTCACCCCCTATCCTCCCCCCAAAAAATCGTTTTTTTTTTTTCACTTTTTTTTCGTGGGGGGAGTTTCCCTCATTTTTAGCCTCTTTCTCTCTGCAAAAAGTGGTTTGAGCCCTTTTCAGCGCGCACTCAGGGTGTTTGACTGCGCGCTCGAGCACTCATAAGCGCTCAAATGGTTACACAACAACAGCCCCTATTCCACCCAGATGAGTAGATGCAAAATTAAAGCATCTTTAATCCTATTGCAGACAGCAAAGGCCTTGGACAATCCAACAATTAAACAGTTTCACCTCTACAGCAAGAAACATGGAGTACAATAGAAGCATTTGAACCCCTTCTTAACTGTGTTCACTTGTACTTTCTTTGGGGTACCCCTTTCATTTGTTCTTGCAGCTCGCCTTTTACTGTGCCTCTCATGTGCAAGGCTAGCCATGTTGATTGTGGTTGAGAGTGAGCTGCCCACATCAACGGCCCACATGCACACTATGAAAGGAGGCAGAGTAAAGGCATTTCCTCTGAACCAATGAAAGACTGGGCTAGACCAGGCTGAGTCTGGAAAAGTCCGGGCCCTGCCGAAATGACCATTGAAATACTGGGCTGGATCAGGCCAGTCCATGCCAGTTCAGATACTTCCAGACCCTGGCCTCTCACCACAAGCCCAGGCTCAATCGGGATCCAGCCTCCAATAGCCAGCGACATTCAGACTAGCTGGTTGTCAGTCGTGAGGCTGCTGGAGTAGCTCAGGGAAGGAGCACCAGCCAACCATTGTTAGGTGCACACACACACACACACACACACACGCACACACACACACACACACACACACAGAGAGAGAGAGAGAGAGAGAGAGAGAGAGAGAGAGAGAGAGAG